GAAATCCATTTACTATATCGTCTGGCCACGACAGCAATCTTTCGCCAATATAGCCCTCGCATAAGCCACTGCCAAGTCACCTATCTTCAGGGTTTTTTTTATTTTCAACAAAGATTATCATTTCATTTGGCTTTGTCCTTTTAAATAGCTCGAGCCCTCAGGCCTAATGAACTCCGGTCCGGCTAGTTTTCGTCCAAAATGCTGGCATGTCAACGTGAAGGCTTCCGCATGCCTCGACTCCTCCTCTATTATCTGCCGCCGGCCTTCCGTTGACAGACAACCCTTATTGTGAGCGGGCGATAACATCTTCCGACAACATGTCACATGCCACGTGCTGGAAAATTATTATGAATAATTTCCGTAACTTCTGTTCGTTTCTGTGCTGTGCTGCCAAATCGCAGCTTGCAGTGAAAAAGTGACATGACCATGCCCGGCATTTGCAAGCCGCCCACTTTTCGAGCAGTTCGCTATGCCGCGTGCCCGAAGTGTGGGGCGTGCCGTCAGATACAACTTCCGACATCCGCGACAGATGTTTTTGTGCGGGAATGTGCAAAGGCGGCTCTACTCGCACCCCTCTCTCACCTCGCTGCTCTCTACCTTGGTTTTTGGTCTTGTCTCTAATTTTGGGAGTTGCGCCCGGTTGCAGAACAATTGCCAGGGCAATTTCTCGACGCGGATGTCTCCGCCAGCAGTTCGTGAATTGTATTTGAATTGTGAATATGAATGTACTCGATAATCATGTACGGGCCAAAAGGTGTTCAGCGAGTTTTTCTCGTTCCAGATGTAGTTGTTATTGCTGTTGTTGTTGTTGCTGTTGTTGTTGTTGTGCGTGTCACATGGCATCTCGTTTGTAATATTTTTGTTGGCAAGGTGTGACGCAGTTGCCAAACATCAAACAGACATAATCCAAAATTGATTCGCCCCCTCACCCAACCGCTGCAAATCGTGCGTCATTTGAATGGAATCAAGCAGACAAAATTTCGATACGCCCCAAATGATCTATGTGTGTGCCTGTCACATGAGCTGTACAAAAGGTGCAATTGCAGGCGTGTAGAGAGAGATAGAGAGAGAGAGAGAGACATAGAGAAATAGAGAGAGAGAGAGCGAAAGAAAGAGAGAGTTATAGAGAGCAAAAATGATTCAATTTGAGCAATCTGGAAAGCATAGAGCAATCTGCATATTCTGGAAATCTAATATATTTTCTATTATATATTAATATTGATATGATTGAAAATTATTAATTCAGACTACTTCTATACTTTTTAGACTCTGAAATTAACCATATAATGCCAGTTTGTTGAAACATACTTTTTAATAGCACACAGACTTTTTTTTTTAATTTAAAAAAGTTTTTTTTTTCTAAGATTATGATAGTATATAAAAATGCTCTGTGCAGCTTCAATTTCAGCTGCTGAACACTTCCTCTGCATCTCTTGGTGGCTCCAATTGGTGAGTATAATTAATTATTAATTAATTAATATTAAATTACTTTAATTAACACTTTTTTAAAATATTTATTATTTGTAATTTAAAATTTTTATATTTTTATACTAAATATTAAACTATCTCAAGTAAAAATCTTGTCCGCATTCATTGGATCTGTTAATCATTAAATCATTAAAAATAAGTCTATGTAGATTAAGTCAACTTATTAATCAAATACCATATTTATTTAGATTCATTTAAAGACAAGAAATAAATATTATTAAGCATTTATTAATATTTCCTTATTATGAATATTTGTAATATCATGAATATTTAATATGTGGAATACTTTTGGATATATTCCAACAGACAAAAAGATTCAATTAATTTTTTGACATGAATCAACATGACAAAATCGATGCCTAGATAAGCCCTGTAGTAGATAAG